GAGAGAGAGAGAGAGAGAGAGAGAGAGTCGTCCATAGCTGCTGCCCTTCCCCAACATAACGCACACTGTAGGCTTCACGACCCTCATTTTGCCTGTATCGGACCCGAAAGATAGTGTGTATACGACAATTATCAGGGAGACAGTCCTCCCCCGAACATAATGCACACTGATAACGAATGTATGCAAGCTGTCTTTCCGGTCACAGGCTCTCTCTCTCTCGACACACACACACACACACACACACACACACAGAGAAAGAGAGAGAGAGAGAGTAGTGTGACATCGTGCTCACTCTCTCTCTCTCTCTCTCTCTCTCTCTCTCTCTCTCTCTCTCTCTCTCTCTCTCTCTCTCTCTCTCTCTCTCTCTCTCGAACAAATTCGCACCCGCTCCCAGTTTTCAATTCGCCTGCGCAGTCCACCGGGACTCCACTTGTAACGGAATTTGAAACCTCTCTGCTCGAGCTCCACAGGGCCGGGTGCAGAGTCCCGCCAGCAGCCTTGCTTTTTCTCGATGCTCGAATCTGGACGTGCCTATGCAGAAATGACGTTGAGTTTCCTAAACCCCACATCTCCACAAACACGTCCAGATACTCTACGCTGCATGTGGGACTTTAACCCCGGCAGGTTCTACTCTGTCCTCCGACCCTTTATCCCAACTGAAATGGACGCCCCCGTTCCCGGGGAAGGAATGGGTCCTGAAAAGACAAAACTGCCCATTTTAAACTTGCCATAAGTCGGGAGCGCCGCCAGATGTTTCTTTTGCCTCCATGAACTGGGAAGGACAGGGACCTGCCGAGCTGTGTTTTCTTTGCCCATTCTGAACTACAGGTGTGACACAGGGGTACTTGCCCCTAATAATAATAATAATAATAATAATAATAATAATAATAATAATAATAAAGTTTGCGTTCAAGTACGCAAATGATTGGAGAATCATGTATAAATGATATGATTACACACTGCGCACCAAATTGCAAACAAACCGTGCAAGCAGTCTTTTACCCCCCTCTCCCCCCCCCCTGGGAGGCTCCATCTAGCAGTCTTATGTCAACAAATGGAACAAAGGTTCACACGGTGGATAAAATACATCGGCGGAGGGCGGCCTCGGAAAGGGGCCCGCAGGTCATGTATGGCCCCGTCCTCCTTCATGCTTAGTGTGCAAAACCTGGGTCCCTATACGACTAGATTCATGCTATTGAAAGCTTCAACCACCAGTACTTCCTAAAGTTGTGCCCGTAAACAAGCCGCAGCTTTAGGAAATGTGTATGGGCCACTACAGGAGCGGCCAAATTCATCTGACTAGAAACACTTCTACTCTTATCTTTTTATGCAGCCGAATAGCTGGGGCAAGTTTTGGTGGTTTAAAAATAGCATCAGTGAAGCCTGCACCTACCACCTTGACCCCAGTGCCAGGTGGCCAGTCACACTTACGGACAACAGCCGGTACCCCAATGCAAGATGTGGACTGAAAAATGAGGCACAGGAAAACAGGCTCCATGATGGCTTGTCCCGAACTGAGGGAACACTGACAGATGGACTTTTCCCTGGGGGGAAAAAAAGGACTTTTCCTGGAAGCAGCTGACCTCAACTACAGCTCGAACCTTTTCAGAAAATTCTAGACTTCTTTGACTGTGGCGGCAATGACTACCATGTACTTCGTCGCCGTACTCGTTGAGCCACACTGCAATACTGTTGCATTGACACCTGTGCACACCTCTCACCCACATCATTGTGTGAGTCGTCAACACCAGTTTCAACACCCCAGTATTCGATACACCACTTGTCTCTAAGGTGACCATGGAAGTCGCAGCATGGCGCAGAGCACCGGTCGATCTTGGCTGAGAGGTGCGAACAGGAGTTAACGTGCACGAGATTCTGGAGCTGTATGGAATATTTTGAACCCCCCTTTTTGCGTGGGCGTTAATTTCTGATGCTATTGCACTCATGTTTGTGTGCTTGCGTGCATAGGATTAGAGCACATTTTTCTCCAATGCCCGGTAGCGGTAGCAACATGGAGATGGTGGGAGAGGATATGGCGACACATGGTCCCGGGACACGCATGGCCATGGGAGTGGCGGGCGATCCTGCTGGGCCATCGCCCGGACCTCCAAAATCAGACCTTCGCATGGAACATGTTCCACCTGGGAAGACGAGTGATTCCATGGGTTATTTGGTGGCAACGCTGTGCCCTTGCCATGGACAAGGTGATGGTGGATGGGAAGGAGAAACAGGAATACCTCAAACAGCAGTTCCAACTAGAACTTTCTCGACTATGGGCAGTCACAAAACAAACATTGGACTCATTACATCAACCAAAAGACATTGCCTCGGTGATTACGAAGTTTGGCCAAGAATGGTTGGGGGAGGGATGGGTAGCAGAGGTGGTTTGGTCCGGACCTTGGGACACACGGATTCAGCCCGAGAATGATGCGGCCAGCATAAGGCCTCTCCGGGACTATCATTTGGTATTCAAGGACTGGACCACGATTAGTCCGGATGTTCCTCTGTGCCYRRCAGAAGACCTTGCAGACCCATTCCCGCCCCACCACCAAGCAATGGAAGAATGGGTTGGGTAGACAGTCAGTATCAGTAATGGGACAGGCAGGGGGACGGCGGAAGTACCCACTGGTGCCCCCCAGTGGATCTCCGCTTGGCCCCTGACGGTGCGGCAGAACGAGACAGTTTCCAACCTTGTGGCATTACCGATCACCATGGTCAGAGGAGGGGAGCCAGCAGTGACAAAGGAAATCTTGCGCCAAACATCAGGGTGAAGAGGGCGCCCCCCTGCTCAGTCAATCCCCTGGCCTCCAGGGTAATCAATGCTGGCAGGTTCAGCTTACAGACTTTCTGAGATGTGTTTTCCATTTCAATCGCAAGGGACGCTGGACCCGCTTTCCAGCAGGTGATGCTCCCCACCAATAGATGGAGCCTCTCCCCAGGTGCTAGCGGTGTCTGCTCTTACCAGCATTGCTAGCACTGGAGGGACTGTTTTTCTCAAAAAAAAATAAAAAAAAAAAAAAAAAAAGGATTGACTGATGTTCGTGGATTAGAGTCCTTCTGGAAATAAAATATATTAAACCACTAGTACCTTTGTCGTCTTGGAAAATAGCGGGCCTCCGACCTTTCAGGAGGCCGAAACAAAACGACGACCGCCGATTAGATTTATCAATGGCAGCCGTCGTCGGGCCTGGCCTCCGAATTCTTCGGGAGCTAGCATTTTCCCTCATTTCTGAAGCGGCAAAGGTACCAGTGGTTTAAAAGAAAAGAAGAAGAACAAGAAGAAGAAGAAGAAAACGATTGCTAGGAGAAGTATGCCCTATTGCTCTATTGGTTGCTATCAGGGGAAACACACTCATGGATGTCCCTTGCACTGTCCTCAGACGAGGAGGGCTGCAAACCATGAACCCTCAAGGGGGGATGCAATGGTCCACTCCGACCAAGGTCACGCTCACTCTGGTGTACTTCCAATCTTTTCCATGGGCGGTGCAAGGCTCAACAGTCATACTTTTCGCTATCTTTGCAAGGAAACAATAGGTAAGAGTACACAACCACCACCTTTTTTTTGCACTTTCTCATGTTAGTGTGCGAAAAGCGTCAAGGGGATAGGCGAGAAAACAACTCAGGATCTTTGCTTTTCTTGCTCCTCCTCCCGATGGCCTTCGTATTAATCAAAGGAAGTAGGAGCGCGCATGCGAGTACACGTTCACCGATGGGATGACTATGAATCCCTTTTCCACAGTCTTTCTCTTTTTCGCACTTCAGTAAGTGCATGTGTGTCCATACGCTCTGAAATCTTCTCTCGTGGTGATTGATTGATTGATTGATTGCATTTTTTAATTTCAATTCTGGTTTCTCGAATTCAATTCCTGCAGTGGGGCGCAGCGCGACCGGGAGCGCTGCGCCCCCGCTGGAGCAATTTTGGAGACGAAGCGGCGGACACAGGATCTACCGGAGAGTCAGGCGACGCGGTGGGCGAAGATGCAAGGACGCAAGGCAAGAGAAGGGTACGTACGGGAGAGCTGGCGTTGATGTCGACGGTGGGATATGGTGGCGCACGGTAGGAGATGGGGGGTGTTGGGCAGTGACGGGGAATAACCACGGGAGGTAAGGTAGGGGGGAGGAGGGTGGGGCAGATGGGCAGGGGGGTGTGGAGTCGCTGGACTAGGTTAGGGCTTGTCGTCCTCGTTTTTTGAAAATCCTTCCCTCTTCCTCAACAATATGGTATGGGTATAGCTTAGGTGGTTTTGAACCCCCTGTGGCGACTCGTCAACAGGTTTGGCGAGGGGGTGCCACACTGTTTTCGATTCCCTTCGGGGATTGAACATGGCCGTTTATGTCTTCAGTGCTTACTTTGCTTTGAGCCTAGATGCTAGCAAAGGGAGGAAGGCAGTTCTTCCTTCCCCAAAGACGCAGGGGTAGGGTTTGAGGGGTGTGAGGTAAGTGGTTTGGTTGAGGACGAAGGGATGGGAGGCTGCTTTGTATTGGATTAGGATTCAGCCACACGTGACTTGGCAGTCTTATAATTCAAAATCTACTAATAATGTTCTTATACCCAAGCTTTTCATTTTGAGGTTGACTTTTTGTTGATGATTTCAATTCATGATTCTTGATTTTTCTTGATAATCGTAAATCAGAATGTTGGCTCTGTTCTAGCTTCTCGAAGGACTCATGAGTAATAATTCAAGTTTATTTTCGTACATCAGAGTTTTAGCTTTGGTCTCACTGCTAATATCGATGGATTGATGTGTTTTTTCTGAAGTATCAACTCGACGATTTCTATTTTTCAAAACATTTTTAAATAATTCTCGATTTCATCTCATTCAATTTGTTGATCGTAAATCAGAGTTTTGGCTCTGATCTCAAATACTGATTCCCAACTATTTAGCTTCTCAAAGGACTCGTGAGTAATAATTCAAGTTGATTTCCGTACATCAGAGTTTTAACTCTGGTCTCACTGCTAATATCGATTGATGAATGCGTTTTTTTTCTGAAGTTTCGACTCAACGATTTTTATCATTGCAGAAGTGTTAGGATTTTGCCCTGCCTGAGAGTGGTATTCTAGTATCTTGTTGTTGCACTAGTCGCATGCGATATACTTTGGTTACTGTGGTGAAGTTTTTTTTCTCTCTCTCCAGCTTACCCCTCCATATTGGGGTCGCATAGGTAGGGGTGAGTGTCATTTGGCTAAGTGGGGTTAGTAGTTGGAGGGATATGACGCGTCCTGCTGGCGAGGGGGCTAGTTGGCAGGACTGGAATAGGGCATAGCAGCAAAGGAGATGGTGGCTCCGCTGTGATAAGTCTTGTCGGGGGGGGATAGGGGGAGTGTTTAGGTTGTCAGGGTGTGTCGAGCACGACTGGTGCACGAAGGGAGCCGGCATTTCGAAACCTTGATCGTCGCGGTGGGTTTCAACGGATTGTCCGACGGTGAGTTATCGCCACCATGTCCAAGAGTTTAGGGTTGGCTGATGCCAGAGTGACGCTGGTCGGGGCTGGGGTTTGGTTGCGCCTGGTAGAGAGATCTGGGGAACTGCAGAGGGTGGAAGGCAGTCCAGTGGCTAACCGTGAGCTGGTATTAGGACGACGCGGGTCGGAGCTGGGGTGGGTCGCGCCTCCCTGTAACCCAACGGTTGGGGGTGTGAGGCCTGGTAGAGCTTGGTATCTAGGACATGAGGGTTGAGGCAGCCATAGGCTGGTCAGTTGATTTGCGTTGGGGCAACATGGTTTCGGTTATATCGGCTTCCAGATAATCCCAATTGGTTCTTATTTTTCATGAGTAAGTTTCATTTTCTCGATTGCTTCTGGTGGTCTTGAGAATGCTTTAGGATTCTGGGGACTTCTTGCCATTCACTATAGGTTTTTTTGATGCTGTTATCTTCACAGATTTGTGGCGGTCGATGCCAGAACGATGCTGGCCG